CAACAAACTGGAGCCACTCGGCCAGGGCCATATTTAATATTTTATTTATTTTTTATTTATTTAAAGGGGCCAAGAAAAACTGATGATAAAAAGAATAGGGAGTTGAAATAGAGAAAATTAAGAACAAATAAAAGCATCTTATTCTATTTCATAGCCCAATACAAGGGGCACTGAACCCCTCTCAGGAAGCATTGGTCACTCCCTTCTTCGCCTTACTGGACCCCTAATAGACTCTGTCCCAGCACTTACATCACAGGGTCACCCTCAGTATGTGTTATGCATCTATTCCCAGAATAGACCATTAAAGGCAGGCCAGAACACTATCTATTGCAGTCTCTCTGGTACATGAAACAGTGCTCGCCACATGGTAGAACCTGGTGAATATTTGTTAAATGTAATTATTTAGGGAGAGAGTCCAAGGACTGTGGGGAGGCAGAGCCATCAATCAATAAAATTCTGCAAAGTGTAATGTGTTTTCTTCCAGCCCCTTTTCTCCACCAGTGCCCCTTCTCCTCCAACCAGAGGGTCTCTGAGAAGTTGCCTGAGGCCCAAAACCCTGGCTATGAAACCACAATGGCCTTGCCTTCTTTTTCCCAAGGACCCTCTGACACAGAAATGCCTCCTCTGCCCTCTATTCTTTCATCTCATGAATTAAAATTATTTCCTTTCTTTAAGAAGAAGAACTTGTTTTCATTTGAAAAGATAAGAGGACAGCTTAACCTGAGTAAGTCTCTAGTGGGAGAAATTTCAAGAAAAAAAGATAAAGGTCAAAGAATTCTGAACCTGCCAAATCCAGTCCCTGCCAAGGAAAGGCCTGCAAACATGACTTTAAGTCTCACTGCTCCTCTTCCCCTGGCCTTGGCATCTTATTAAATGAATGTGCAAGCCAAGAATCCCGTTCAGTATTTACACAGGTCACCAGCTTTGTTCACCCCTGACTTCTTAACCCCGAGAGTGCTGCCACTGACAATGGCTGAGGGCATTTCCTTCCTCCCAGGAGAACAAAGAGAACTCCTTTTAAGAGTGACAGTCTCATCCTCATTTCCACCACATTCCCAAAGGCACCATATATCAAAGAAAGGTTAAGAAACCTGTTCTAACAGAAGACTCTTAATCCATCTCAGAAAGGTGAGAATCAATCTTATAAAACCTTTGAGAATGACTTTCCCAATTAACCTTTTTCATATTTGATCTCCTAATCTTTTGTTTCTACCTGTAAATATTCTTAACTTCCATTAGTATTTTCACAGGTATGTTTTTTACCAAAATGTATCCAAGTCACATTGAAATATCTCTACTTCTTTATAATACAGTGTCACCAATGTTAATCACTGGCAATTATATCAGTGGCCTAATACCACCAATGTACTGGGAACAAGCTATAAGGATACCAGTTCTTAATTCCACACTGAAGCATTTCAAAGTCTGCAAGTGAAACTCTAGCAGAAAAAATACAAATGCATGGCTACACTAGAAAGTAATACAAAATCACAAAATCTCAGACTTGTAAACACACTCAGAGTTTATTATTCTGTATCATTCACTGCTGGAATTATTATCATGGTATCCCTAACACATTGTCATTTATTTATTATTTGATGACTTCCAAAGCAAGGAATCCACTGTAACTTAAGGTATTACAATCCCGAGTTCCTAGGTGATTCATCCCTAAAGTTAGGCAAATTCTGACTTCTAGTTCGACTGCTTGGGACATATGAGCAATTTAAATTTTTCATGTATTAGGTTGTTTTCCAGGAAATTTAAGGCGTTTCTCTCTCTCTCTCTCTCTCTCTCTCTCTCTCTCTCTCTCTCTCTCTCTCTCTCTCTCTCTCTCTCCCTCCCTCTCCCCCTGATTATGTTTAGAAAGAATCCTACCTTGATTATCTTTGTTGATCTTCATAGTCCCTGATACTGTGTGTTGACTCCAGAGAGTCAATGAAAGAATGAGTGAATGAGCACATATACTAGTTGTGCCTCTGCAGTGAAGAGAGTTGGCAGGAAATACTCAGTATCCTAAATCTCTGAGCCATCCATCACTATCTACTGCGATAGGAGTTCCCTAGAGCAATGGCGGGGAGTGGGTTTGGGACATTTGGGTAGTGATTCTCTATCTGAGGTTGAGTGAAGAGAGGGGGGCACTTCATTACTAACAACGACTTGGACACCTATTTCCCATGAGTTGGATGGAGTTGCCAGGCCTGCACTTTTACCTTTGCATTGAGATCTAAGCTTAAAACAAACAAGCAAGACACATGTTTTTCTTTGCTTCCTTCATTTAGCCAGGGTTTTAAAAATGTGGGTGTCCAGCCCAGTAGCTCAATTGGTAAGAGCATCCCTATATGCCAACATTGTGGGTTTGATTCCCTATCAGGAAACATACAAGAATCAACCAATGAATGAATAAATAAGTAGAACAACAAATTAATACTTCTCTCTATCTCTCTCTCTCTTCCTCCCTTTCCCTTCCTCTATCTCTAAAATTAATAAATAAATTTTAAAAAATAAATTAAAATGCAGTTGTCCATTAAGTCAAGTACATTTTTTAATTACATGGGGCTTTAGAGTATAAAAAAAACAGGGAATAAGGTAAAATTCAATAATGTCATACCAATTAAATAAGTTCAAATTTTTAAAAACATGATATGTTTCAAAAAATATAACACTCTTAGTTTAGCTGTTGTGGTGGAGTATACAAAATAAGCTGCCAGTCTTAGGAAGGAGGATTGAGTCCCAGCTCTTCTCTTTATTTGCTGTAGAATTTTAATCAAGATATTAAACATTTATGTCTTAGTTTTTACAACTATACAATATTGGGTATATTAACACCACCAACCACACAGGGTTATTGTGAGAATTAATGTGTACATTAATTAGAATAGTGCCCAGCCTAGAGTATTCTATAATAATAAAAGCATAATATGCTAATTACACTGGACTGCTGAATGACCTTCTGGATGTTATTCTGGACCTCCTTCCAGATGAAGCCGCAGCAGCAGGGCAGAAGCAGTTAGGGGTGATCAGACAACAGGCAGAGTGGCTTGGGGCAATTAGAAAGGTAGGCTAGTGGTTAGGGTGGTCAGGCCAGCAGGCCAGTGGTTAGGAGCCAGTGGTCCTGGATTGTGAGAAGGTGCAGGCCAGGCTGAGGGACCTTCCATCCTCATGCACGAATTTCATGCACTGGGCTTCTAGTATATTATAGCAGAGTAATGGAGTAAGACATATTCAGTCTGATATAGTGATTTCTGTTATGCATTGTCTATATCCATAGGAATGTCCTGACAGGTACAGATGTGCCTGTGGGACCACACAATAGGTGCATTGGGGGAATCTTGCATCTCAGTGTTCTGGAACTATCTTCCTTAGAGGTCAACCACATCATAGTAAGGTCATCCAGTTTAGAGAAAAGGTTGTTGGGCTGATTATCAGGAGATCTGGCTTCCAGACTCAGCTATGCTGTGAATTAGCTGGCTGACCCATGTTAACCAGCTAATCTAGGCCCCGGTGTCTCAGCCAGCCTTATCAACCTCACAGACACATTAGGAAACACAGACTGAGAACTAAGGGTTCTAATCATACAAATGTCTGATGATAAATAGGTCTAAAACCCGTATTGTCTCTTTTCTCTCCCAAATAGTTCTGGAAATACCAGTTATCCTTCCAGTCTTTCTCTCCTCTTGCTCCCATCATGTTGTTCCAAGAACGAGTGACCCTTTTAGTTCTAGTTGGACATTATTAACTGGAAGTAAGATAGTTCCAGAGCACTGAGATGCAAGATTCCCTCCAAAGCATCTTTTGTGTGGTTCCACAGGCACATCTGTACCTGTCAGGACATTCCTATGGACACAGACCATGCATCACAGAAATCATTATGTCAGACTAAATATGTGTTACTCCATTACACCAGTCAGGCCTGATTCAACTCAGAGGCTCGCCAGTTTTGATCCTTGTTTTAGTCCTATACAACATTCTTTATGTTCAATGCTATAAATAGTTAAAGCGAGATCAAACAAGAAAGAAAACATACACACAAACACACAAGAAAAAGTGCAAGAGAAATAGCAGAGTCTGTGTCTGAGGTCTAGAGAGAGCACGGTGTGAGCTGCATATCTGTCTTCTTTCCCCCATCCCCATCTCAGGTGATCCCTTTGGAGATGGTTCTAAAGCCCAGACACATCTTACTATAACAGAAAATCACAAGAAGAGAAAATACATATTCTTGATCACAGAAAAGTGTCTTTGAGACCATGCTACAGGGATGTCCACACCCTTGCCTTCTTTGCTCAATCCTAATAATTGTTTGTTCCTGTAGGATTTTTATCACATAGTGTCCTTGCCATCACCATATCAATAGTCCTCATTCTGGCAATGTGAGGGCAGAAAACCTGACTTTTCCTAACAGCTATAAGACTAGTATCCTTCACCATCCCTCATCTAAAGTGGACTCTAGCTCTTTTATCCCTTTAAGCTTCACAGATTCCATTTTGTTCACATTCTTTTCAGAATCTGATTCTCAGAACTCAGATCTGTATCCCACAAGGTTATGATCCACATATACCACTTCTGTCTAAAAGCTAGGCAATCCACTTGTATTAATATAGCCTGCATTTATGCTAGTTGCTTTAAAATCCCTCAGTAAAGGAGACTCAGTAAAGATGGCATGCTATATGTGACAAGTGTCCTTCTGAAATTCAGATATACTTATAATCTTCTTTTTACACTTAATGGATTCCAGCACAGAATAAAAATAAAGAAATACCACTGCACAGTCAAGGCAAATTAAAGTAGATGCATTTGACTTCAGTGATGAACTGACACTGGCCTGGAATATCAATTGCAACTCATAAAGGTCAAGTTCAATCATGGGTTTGCCTGGAGGTCTGGAAATAAACTGCTCAGATGACACCAAATTTAGGTTGAAATTTTGCAGAGTTCTGGAGGGCATATACTTTCCCTCTAGCCCAATATGACACTCCATCAGGCTCCCTGACATCAGTACTCACCATTCTTGCAGAGCAAGACAGCCAGGAAGTCCTGAGAGGAAGAATTGATATAAAGCAAGAGGCTGGGTGCCTGGGCTGTCACAAAGCTAAGTGCGATGTTTTCCTTAGACGGAGCCGACTCTGCATAAATCGCTGAGGAAGACTGGCTTAGATTCCTGGTCACTGGGTAGGGTTCTTGAAACATGTAAGTAACTGAAGTGCCAGCCTCAAAAACAGCAGAAACTTCTGCAAAATACAAGAGGGAGAAGCACACATTAAGGTCTGAATTGAGTATTCAGGATATAATCATAGCTTGTTTATTGTTCCTTTGCATTAGGCACTGCGTGAGGGTTTGTACATTAATTATATAATATGCTTTCCACAATAAGTCTCAAGTGGCAGAAATGATCAACCTCATTTCCTAACGAGAATCATGAGGCTGACAGAGGCTAAGAACCCTGAACAGGTTGCACAGCTAAAAGAGAGCTGTAATCTGCTTAGTGAAATTCAGGTCCAGCTTAATATATATTCGCAGAATAACTACCATGAGACAGGTTCATTTTTTAAGCAGCAAAGATAAAATGTCCCTGCCTTCAACATAATATAGAGAAATTTCACTGGGACCATCTTACTTTTAAAACTGAGAGGCTAAGAATTCTAGTTTGTCTTTTTCTCACATATCAGGAGGGTTTTAAGTGGGTTCTAATTTACTGAGAGCAGGACGTGGGGTATATAGGCCTCATGTGATGCACTATATAGAGCTTTGCCACCGCTACAAGGAAAGGAGGCATCCCCATGCTGATAACATTCAATCAGCAGGAACATGCCAGCCCCAGATCTTACTGGGGCTGTGTCCTTGTCCCACTGCCAGGTTAGTGGGGCCAGCACGGGACTGGGCTTCAGCACAGGTTGGGAAACCTTGCTCAGTCCCAGGAAATCAGGAGAACCCTGTGAGGACTGTTTTCTCCTTGGGCAAATGGGAAGCATGAATCCTACCTTAATGATCTAGAAGTGGTGCAAGGGAAATGGCAAGAGATTGATTTCTTTGTGGAGAAGAAAATGATGTGCGCAAAGCACTTAAGACAGTTGTCCACCACTCATAGGCTCCCAAACCAGAAGGCAGTTTAACCAGAACCCATTCCAACTTTCTTCATTTAAATATATGTTTATTGACTGCACATTTATCCAAATGCTGAGATATGCTCTTCTCTCATTCAAGGCCACTCTGAAATTCCCTTTCAACTTTGTTGCTGTCCAGCAGAGGTTCCCTCTTAGAGCATCATAGCTTAGGTCTGGCAGCAAGCAAGTCTCTGTCATAAAGTTAGTAAGCAGGAAGCTGCACTGACATAATTTCTCTTTCCAACTGACATGTGCAATGTTGCTAGTTCCCCATAAAATGATCTCATTGAATTAATGGCACCTAGAACATAATCAAACCTGGCTTTTGCTTTCTAATTTGATTGCAAATTTGTTCTACTTTTGTGAAAACTATAACTGCCTGCAACTGTACCAACAAAAAAATGAAGGTTGCATATTTATTTATATATTGTTAGCAGATTGGGAATACTATTTTATTCTTGCTAAAGGTTCACATTAACAAGAAAGTCCTCCTGATTACAAAGATATGTAGTGGAGACTTGTGACCGTGATGATGTGGGTTAATTATCAGTTTGATTCAAGCACTTTTCTTGAGTGAACTAACTTCCTTGGGGACACTTTGCCTGCCTTTTGAGCTACTATCTCCTAGTTAACAGAAAAAATGGTTTTCATTTAATGTTTGGTTTGTGTGTGTGTGTGTGTGTGTGTGTGCAAGTGTAAGTATAATTTAGAGCATTCTGTTATGTAGCATTAGAGGCCCAGTGCACAAACTTACCTAAAAATCAGTTAGGTTGTAATTATTTCAGGAAAATATAAAACACTTTGAAAATAAATTTATTTCTTTTTTTAAATACATTTCATTGACTTTTTACAGAGAGGAAGAGAAAGGAATAGAGAGCTAGAAACATTGATGAGAGAGAATCATAGATCAGCTGCCTCCTGCACACTCCCCATCAGGGATGTGCTCACAACCAAGGTACATGCCCTTGACTGGAATCGAACCCGGGACCTTTCAGTCCGCAGGCCGATGCTCCATCCACTGAGCCAAACCAGTTTCGGCAAACACACTGAAAATAAATTTAAAAATTGGCATGATATTAAAAATTTGTTCTTAAAATTTTTATAATAATTATCCTGTTGATATGTACTATTATGAGTCATTATTTAGCAATACATATTGCAATATTTCAGATAAAGTGATGTTATCTAGCATTTGCTTCAAAATAATAAAGAAAAGTAAGTGGGTGTGAGCATTTAGGTTAATTAAAAATGGCCATAATTTGATAATTACTGAACATAAACAATAGGTATATAGCATTTAAAATTCTTTTCTTGATCATTGTACAAATAATTTTCTTTTGTAGTAAAAAGTGTAAAAAGAAAATAAGTCCTAAGAAATGTAAATATTAGACAATTTTATCATGTTTTTTTTTTGCTACTAGTAAACTGTATGCTAAATATACATATTACTTTTCACTGAAATTCTATTACTAAGAAAATAATTTATTAATATGTTTATCACAGAGCTAGAGGCCCAGTGCATGAAAGTCATGCACTAGGATGGGGGAGTGGGAAGGTGTTTCATAGCCCATTTGGGCCAGATCCTGGGGATCAAGCCTAAATGATCAGTCGGACATCCTTCTCACAATCCAGGACTGCTGGCTCTTAATGGCTCACCTGCCTGCCTGCCTGATTGCCCCTAATCACTTCTGCCTGCCAGCCTGAAAACATCCTAACCACTCTCCTGCCAGCCTGGTCACCCCTAACTGCCCTCCCCTGCAGGCCCAGTCACCCCAAACTGCCCTTCCTTGAAGGCCTGGTCCCTCCCAACTGCCCTTCCCTGCTGGCCTGATTGCCCACAACTTTCCTCCCTGCTGGCCACCTTGTGGTGGCCATCTTATGTCCACATGAGTGCAGCCATCTTTTACCACATGGGAACGGCCATCTTGTGTGTAGGAGTGATGGAAAAATTACATATTACCTTTTTATTATATAGGATTATCTATGTACAAACACTGGAATAATCTAAAATTCCAAAATATAAGAGAAACTATTTAGTGATACTCTGTAGGTCAGCAATCATCTCAAGTGCTTTGTGAAGTGCTTACTGCATATGCACCACAAACATTTGTGAAGAATTCCTGAATTGTCCACACTTTTCACATTTATAGTTGTGAAAACCAGGAATCATATGGTTGAGCTACACAACCATTGTCCTATCTGTAGACTGTGGATTCTTAATGACTACTAATATTGAACATCTTAATTGAACATACAGAATCTGAATAAAAGCAGATCTGGAGGTAGAGTCCCACTATTTATAAGGTGAGCTCTGGTGGTAGGATTACAAGCAAGAACCATTCCACCAGATGGAATATTCTGCAACATTAAGACTTATAAATTATATAAGAATGTCTACTAAATGAATAACAAAATTTAGTCTATAAAATGTAATGGACAGACATCTTAGTTACATTGAATGCAAGGAAAAGAGCTAGAACAAAATTGGATTTTCTTTTTAATTATCTTTGAGTAGATTGGCTTTTTATTTTCCTAGATTTTTAAATCTGTTACCAATTAGAATTCAAAATATCTTGTCTAATGTTTTTAATTTAAAATAACTTGAATGATAATGTGACAGTCATCCCCAGATTGTTCAAATAATGGTGGGGATAGAGGTGGGCTAAAGACAAGCGCACATCAAAAATGGTGTTGGAACATCTGGACATACACATGCAAAACAATGAAGTTGGAACCCTGCCTCACACCATATAAAAATTAATTCAAAATGGATCCAAGGCTTAATGTAATATCTAAAATTATAAAACACTTAGACGAAACTAGAGGCATAACTCCTCATGGCCATAGGTTGACAATAATTTCTTAGATATAACTCCCAAAGCACAAGCTACAAAAGAAAAATGATAGCCGAACTGTTTGGCTCATCGGTAGAGCATCGGTCTGCGGACTGAAAGGTCCCAGGTTCGATTCCGGCCAAGGGCATGTACATTGGTTGCGGGCACATCCCCGATAGGAGGTGTGCAAGAGGCAGCTGGTCGATGTTTCTTTGTCATCGATGTTTCCAGCTCTCTATCTCTCTCCCTTCCTCTCTGTAAGAAAATCAATAAAATATATTTAAAAGAAAGAAAGAAAAATGATAGATAAATTTTTCATCAAAATGGAAAAAAAAAATACACCAAACTTTTGTTCTTAAAAGATACTACCAAGAAACTGAGAAATGGAGAAAACATTTGCAAATCATATATCTAATAGGAAAATTATATTCCGAATATATAAAGAATTCCTACAACTGCACAATAAAATAAATAAATAAAAATTGGCAAGATATTTGAATAGATATTTCACCAAAGAAGATATACACATGGGTAATAAGTACATAAAAAGATGTTAAATAGTAGTAGTCATTAAGAAGTTGCAAATCAGCCCTAGATCTTTGGTTCAATGGATAGAGTGTCAGCCTGCAGACTAAATGGTCCCAGATTCAATTCCAGTCAGGGACATGTACCTTGGTTGTAGGCACATCGCCGGTTAAAGGTGTGCAGGAGCAGCTGATAGATGTTTCTCTCTCATTGATGTTTCTAATTCTCTATCCCTTCCCCTTCCTTTCCATAAAAAATCAATAAAATATATTTTAAGAAATGCAAATCAAAAACCACAGTGAAATCTCATTTCACTTTTTTTAAGACAGTATTATAAAAAAGGCAGACAATAATGTGTTTGTGAGGATGAAGAGAAGTCAGAATCTTCATATTTTGCTGGTGAGAATATAAAATAGAGCATCCACTTTGAAAAACAGTTTGCAAGTTTCTCAGAAAGTTAAACATATGGTTACAATATGACCCCGCAATCTCACTTCTAGGTTCATATGCAAAGAACTAGACAACATAAGTTCATACAAAATCATGTACAAGAATATTACTAGAATTATTATTCAAAATAATACACACATAAAGAGAAACATCCCAAACTATCAACTGATAAACAGATGAATGAAATGCGGAGCTCCCAGAGTCTGAAACAGTCATTGGAAAATAAAAAATAATAAAGTACTGAAAAATTCTACAACATAGATGAACTTTGAAAACATGCTAAGAGAGAGGAAGCAGACTCCAAAAAGCTATATATTG